ATACAAAGACATACGGAATTTTAAAAATTCAATTGATCTTAGTACTTCATGATCCATCCAGTGATGCTTGTTGCATTTTGAGTTTTTCAATTCTGTGTTACTAGCATTACATATGCCACATGAGAAATTGTATAAGGATCATTTTTATTGAAAGTAAAATAAAAATTGGACATTTTTCTGTTAGTCTGAGGCTTTGTAACAGCTTGTTTATTCAAAGTCTAAATTCAGAGACAGATTTGACTTGTAATTTAAGAATAATAGCCTCAGAATACTACTAATAAATGCTGGAGAACTTGTCAATGCTCAAACAAGCTTGAAGGTATTTGAATTATTTGCCAGACTTGGCCTTCACACTGATGGAGTTTAGGCTAGAATGTATGTTCTAGATGGCTGATCAGTTAGTATTGGGTGCCAAACAGCTATTCTTAGTATTTGCAGTTGTCCATGCTTCTTAAACGTTTTCATAATCTATTAATCATTATTAACCCTTTATAAACCATTTATAAATGTACCCTGAATAAAGAAGTGTGTGACCATTCAGGACTTTTTCTCAAGTTTAATATTAAAGGCAAGTCCAAGGTCAAGATTGGCACAGGGAGGCTTTAGGGAGCTGGTGTAGTTTATATTTTGGCCAGTCAGCTGAGGAACCACGTGGAACTAAAATTAGTAAAGTGCAGGCAGTGAAGAAAGTTCACACAGTGTAATATGCTGTGGGCAGTATTAATGTTGATTTACCCAATCTGTTAATGGCATGGTCTGTCTAGACCTTTGGAACATTCCTCAGCTCCTTATTTAATGTAGGAGGAATCATTTCTGAAATTAGCATATAAATTGTCTAGAGTCAGCAGCCCTTTAAAGCAGTATTGTACCCTTCTGTCATGGCACAGTAATTGTTCTAAAAAATTTAATCTCACAGTCAGGCACATTCTCATGAAGAAGCTCTTGACTTTACGTTGCATGCTGAAAAAGTGCATAAACCCGAGGAAGTTCATTAAGTTTGATATGGGCAAATGGTCAGGATTTGATTTGGGTAAGTTGTATTTATTTAGTCCCAATTAACAAGGGCAAGTGGATTGTGATAAGGAAGCACCTGTCAAGATCTGTCCGTGTAGGTTTGCGTGTATGTAGTTGAAACTGGAGTCTTTTCTGACTTTGTCTTGGTTTGAAAGACAGGTGTCTGCTAGGGAAGGCAAGAGCCTGCCTCTCTTGGAATGAAAAATGTAAAACCCCCTCCCTGTGAACTATTATAATTTTGAAATTAAGGGGCTCTCAGGCAGAGATCTGGGGATAGGAATAACAGTTCTTTACTAGTATGTATAACGAAGCAAACAAACCACAATAACTACAGAATTAACAACAAAAGAGAACCAGGGTACCCGTGACAGCTTTCTCGGCTGAGACGGGAAGGGATGGAGGAGAGGCTTTGCTTCACAAACCCCCTTGGGCAGTCCCGGTGCTCCTGCAGGGCTCTGAGGAACACCCAGCTGGAACAGCAGGGATGAGCTGAGATCCGGGGCTGGTGGCTGAGGTGTATCAGCAGCTCTGCAGCGGTGCCTGGCACTGGCACATGCCGGGAGGACAGGGGGTGCGGAGCCCCTGAAGAAGAAGAAGCTCCATCTGGGTTATGGCGAATTCCTTTCCTCAAGCAACGACAGCTCTGAGTGTGTGAAGCTCTGACGCTGAAGAAGCGAGCCAGCTAGCAGCTGCCCTCGACCTTTCTAACCTGCCTCCTTTCCCCCCTGGGCCCAGCCAAACTCTTTGTCTTCTCAAGCACCCAATAATCACCAGCAGTCAGGTTTCCCCGAAACTAATGGACAAAATTCTATAGGTGAGAAGGAACAAAAGGAAGGACATCTAAACCCCAACAGACTTTGACATACATTTTTTTTTCCCTTTCCTTGGTTTTCCACATGACAAATACAAGGCATGCTGTAAAGTGTACTCATTCCAGGGCTCACTCTGACCTGGACTTGTATGAGAAGTCTGCTCCTGGTACCTGGCATTGGGATGCTGCCAAAATAAGGTGCCAGGAACCTTATGGAGGCAAATCCTCCACCCTGGCTCCTGCTCTTTTATTGCATCTTCTGAAATCCTGTACTTAGTCCTTTCCACTTTAGTTGCCAAGAGTAACATGCAGCATTGTCTTCTAGGTTATTTTCAAGGGAAAATACATGCCTTCAGCCTGGGAATTCCTACAGGAGTTGCGAGCTAGCTTATTAGAACAAGTAGGTGTAGCCAGAGATGAAAAATAAAATGTCAGTATGATGTGGAAGGTTTATTTGGCATGAATCTGAGATGACCACACTGAGCAGTGAAGCCAATAAAATTTTTGTACTAGGAAATCATGTGTTCTGAGCATGCCACGCACTTTACAGAACTATTCCAGGAATGCTGCTTGAGAGTTTTATATGTTCATTTGGTACTTATTTTTCGTCTCACTTGCTCCAAAAGCCAGGTGCTTTAATCACAATGAAATCCACTGCCCAGGTCACAGAGAAAAAAAATGGGAAAATAATGCAATTACAGCAAGTCCTAAAAATGATCTAAAATAACATTTTTATATGCAACTGAATAATAATTTTAAATTGGAGTATTTCCTTACCTCCCCAGGGTTAAATAGTGACTTTCTTACTGAAAATGCCTTATTAAAAGCTTTTTTTCCATTTCAGAAAGATTTGGCTTGTGGTCAGGAAAGCCTTCAAGATGGTAGATCTTAAATTTGTCGTGGTCTCAGTGTCCATCCTATATGTTGCCCTAGTATTCTGAAGGATATAGAGGATAGGGAGATGAGTTTTTTTCCTGATTGAATAGTGAAGAACTGTTCAAGAAGGTAAAAAAGCCCAACAAAACATCAAAAATCAGCTCCCTCTAAACAATGTTTTAAAAAATGTATTTTGAAGAAGCAAAGCTCATGTGGGTAAACACAGGAGTACTGATAGATACATATTACGGGCTGCAAGCAGGGTTTGTGTTCTGTGCTAGAACAGAGAGGCCTTGGCTGGTGTCTGTGGGCCCTGAGCTTGATTCTAACCAAGAATTACAGTAGCAGGTGACAGGCAGAGGGTACGGCTTGAGGGGGAACACAGGAGTCATGGCTTGTGTTTGGATGTTCCAGCTGGGGTCGGATGGGCATGTGGAGCCTTCCCTCCAGAGTGAGGGATAGCAGCTATTTTGTGATGTGATCTTAACAACCCAAGGCTTGCATGTATTTCACATTCTTCAGGGTATCTGACCCAAAGATAACTAACTATGCTCAGAGGTGTCAGAATGTACCAGAAGAACCAGTCCATGCTCGTGGGGGTAGTGCTTTGGCATAGGCAGGGATTGGGGAGGTGCTCTGTGACATCTCAATGCACTTCTCTGCCATAGGTCCCAGGGAGCTACCTCTGCCAAGCTTGGGGTGGTAGCTGTGCTTTTGACAGGTAGCTCTGTGGGACCAGATATGGGGAATATTTCAGTAAATTTGTGCCCAGGTCAGCCCAAATTCTGTGACATGATGTTTGTGGGGGACAGAGTCGCATTCTTATGGTCTGCATTTGTTTGAATGGTCCCCAGAGGAAAAAGGGCTTTGAACTTTCTTATCTATGCTCCTCTGATATTTCGTAGCTTGTGGTAAGTGATGTATGCTTGTTTTTGTTTTTGTTTTGTTCTACCCTAAAACTATTTTTGCTTCAGTTGCACTTTAAATGTTTGAAGGGTTTCCCCCTCCTTTATTACTTGATTTAATTGGAATTATGGTGCTTATCAAAAAGTATTACTGCAAGGTGACCTGGTAATAATAATTTCCTTTCATCTATACCAAACATTTGTAGATCATTAAAATGTCACAAATAAAAAGTCTTAGTCACAAAGAAATGGTTTTATATGAACACAGTAAAATATGAAATTTCATTATATACAAAAAGGCTATGTTTTTTATTCCTTGTTCACAGAGGAAACCTCCAACACATGTGGAATGCATGGCAGGATGTAGGACCCTCTAAGGGCTGTATACAGATACAGACGAGAGGGGAGAAAAAAAAAAAGAAAAAGAAGGCACAGTGGTTCTGAGGAAACGACCCCTTTCAGTAACAAATGGAGCATGTACTCTGGGTCTCCAGAAGGATTTGTGCAGGGATCTTGCTCTGCATATGCGTGCATTCCTCTGAATCAGACAGGTGTTAAAGTGAAATGGTGCCCAGAGGATGCATTACCCTCCTGTGCTATCAGCAGCCTGACCACATGATGGGTCCAAAGGAAGCCAAGCACAACTGCTGAGGGCTTTGCCAAAGGGTTTAGATGCCAAGTCCTGAGAGAGAGAGTATCCTTGCCAGCTTGGCACCTTTAGGCCATGTGGCTGCTGCTGGCATGGAATTGTCATTGTAATGTGCTGGGAAGAATGGAACCAGAAGCTGTCTTAGTAGTTCTGTGTGAATGAAGCTCTTATTGTTGTGAGTATAAAATATTAATTACCTTACAAATGTGTTTGAGTAGCTGTACATGACTTTGGCATCTGTCCAGACTAGCAGTGGTGAAATCAGAGGATTGCCTCCTGGCAGCCAAAATTATTTATCCCCCTGCCCTTCCCCAGCATCACACTGGAAGTAAGAGGGGAACTATTTGAAAACAGTTGACATCTGGGGAAAGATGTTAATTGGCTCCTGGGATTTGGATCAGTCCTTGAGCTGGTGCCTTAAGAGTGGGTTTAACCAATGCTGTAATCTTCTGGCACCTGTTGCAGTTTTTGGCAGTGGCACAGGACAGCTTTGATTGCACTGGGATTGGAGTAGCGAACATATGCCTAATGCCCATCCCAGAAAGAATGACTTAGCGCCCTTAATGCCTTTCCTATTGTTTTATTTTCCACTTTCTTTTCTCTTATTCATCAAGCTGCTGTTAATAATTATCATTACATACAGGCAAGCACCCACCAGCATCTTCAAAAAAATCAAAGAAAAAGCAAGAGGCAAACAGGAGCTGGGAAAGTTCTGTCTCATCAGAATCCAGCTACTTTCTGTGTTTGATTTTCTTTTGTTTGCCTGGCCCTGAATCTTTAAGAACTGTGATAAATTAAGGACTCCAGGAGAAATGATACATATCCAGTGTCTGAGATGTAATCAGAAGAAGAGTATTTTGTTTTCTAAACATATTAATTAAAATAACCAAGTGTGTGTCTTCACAGGAAGATAATTCAGAGGACCTGTTAAAGGAAGTCTCTCTGCCTCCATGTCTCTGTACTCATTGTGCATCTGTAAATGGCTGCCATCCAACAAAGCTCTTAAGTGCATGCTCAGCTCCAGCACAGCTTGGCTACAGCAATGTTGCTAGCTTTGGCATGTTTGGGGCATTCACATGCTTGGTGAGAGGCACATGCTTGTGTGCCCTTCTGAATAACTAACTCTTCCTTGTGTCCTACAGGCCTGTGGCCAGGAGTGTGGGTCCCGTGTCCAGCTCCCGTAGAAAGTAAAGATAGCAATAGGGTTACACTTCAGCTACAGCTCCGGGGTTTTTATCCTTATCTTGGACATCACTGGAATGCAGAGGTATGGACTCCTGAAAAATGATTTGAAGCCTACCAGCAATGCATGTAACTTTACCTTGCCTGGTGCTTCTGCAGAATTTAGTGGTGTTTGTTTAAAGTGAATCCAAGTAAGCCATGCAAAGTTGTGGCAAAGACTGAGAGCACAGAGGAAAAACATCATGCTCAGATATCAAACAGTTCATTAAAATCCATGCTGCTGCATCACAGCTGTGAGTGTTTGTCTAGAGGGATAGCTCAAAGAGTGTGTTTGGTGTCTTGTGAAAAGTCAGTCTTGAGAGCTGGGGTGATTGATTAGGTTTGAAGAGAAAGTCCTTGTATACTTATGGTGGTTCTTGGAATTACAACATGGCTTGTGTATCTAGGAAGCCAACAAAAGACCTTGGACTTCTTATCTACTCAGATCAACACTGGTAAAGGTTCTTGAATTATAAATGCAGATGATTTAATTAAATATAATCCAACTGCTCATTGAGTACTTCTGAGTACATCTCATGAAGTACCTGATTTAGGGGAAAAATATGTAGGGAAAGGGAAATTTTCATCAGTGACAAATAACTGTACCCATAAAGTGATAAAGTCATGCAGTGATAAAGTCATACAGTAAAGTCCAATCAAGCAAACTCAGTGAAATATTCTTCTGTGTGCAGTTCAGAGTCCACTCAGATATTTTCCAGACTACCATCTGCATCAGAAATTTGCTGGACAAATAATTCTGGTTCTCTCCAGTAGCTTCTTGGTATGCCTGAGGTGGAATTCCAAAAGAGGACTAGCTGGCAAGTTGTGTTTTGTTTTTACCCTTACCAAAGCCTGTTTGAATTACAGGGATCATAGTGCAATTCTGGTCATTGGAACCTGCACTCATTTATTTCAAGAAGGTTAATTTCTTGGGGATCATAAAAAAGCCAGATGGGGAGAAGCTATCCTGTTGTGGGAAGGTCCTTATCTGCTTCATTACAATAATTGAAAATGGCTTTTTAAATAGTCTAAAGAAGTTCACTTATGACTAAGACCCAAATTTCCTGGGGGGAAGGAAAAATAAAAAAAAAACAAATGTGAGAAATACTTTAAAACATCTTTATCCAGTGTTTTGCCCCTGGAGGAGGAAATGAGATATGTAAGAAAGCAGCACATGTGACAGATGCTGCTCAAGATGCTCAGCACATTACTTAAAGATGCTCTGTGACCATCATGTTGTGAGTAATAAAAGAATGTGACGGGGATGGAAGTGGAACAGTCCACATTTACTGTAATGACATTTGTAGCCTCACCACTCTCACATGATGGCCAACAAATTCCTGCCAGTTCCCGGAGTATTCCTAAATGTATCTGGGCAGTGCAAAGCAGCACTGGGTTGGGGAACCCTCTGGTTACCTCCAAGTGAGCTGGCATGTCTGTAGCAGTTTAACACACAGGGACTTACTTCAGTGTCGGTGCCAGAAACAGTAAAGCTCTGTTACTGCCATACACAGTTAATTAGCTCGGGTGTCACAGCGAGCAAACACGGCTATATTGCTCCTGGTTCTGCAGCAAAGTTAATTGAGACTGGCTTGGGGATCTTTGCCCCAATTTGCGGTGCAGACGTACCCAGGAATGCACTCCTATTGTTGACTGAATACTGTATTTTCACATAAATGTGGCAGGAATATAATTGCAGGGTGGAAAGAGAAGGCCAATATACATTCACTTCACTTTAGAAACTAAATTAAACCTTTGACTTAACTCACTTCTATACCAGTGCCCTGCAGGCATTTCTACAGGCTTCATTAGAGCCAACCTAGAGGCCATGGAAAGGGTCTTACAAAAGACTAGCCAGGAAGCCAGTCATAGACCCAGATCCTGCTGCTACAGAACACAATCTGCCTCTTGGCACCTCAGGCTTGCAGCTGCCAGGCACTCTCCTTATGTGGTCACTGGTGTTGGCTCGGAGGCTGGGGCAGATAGACGAGGAGGGCTGAGGGGGAACACATTCATCACTGCCAGCAGTGAGTGGGGGCAGTGCCAAGTCACTATGTAACCAGGCACATGTGCCAATTTGCTCAGTAATTGGATTGCTATTTGAAAAATTAAAGTGGTGTCTAGAAAATTCTAACCTCTGCATTTATGAAGTACGAAGTTCGTGACTGGGAGGCTGAACAGGAAGAGTAGAGGGGATCAAGCAGAGGTGTTTAAGGAGAGCAAATGTAGGAAGTAATTTGATTATTTTCCAAAGTGTTACAGCAGCCTTAGAAGCAGCCTCTCTGTACCAGAGAGACAAAGAGCAAGACACAGTGCGGTGGAAAGCTGTGACATTATGGACAATCCGTAACCCATTGCTGACTATGGAAAATCAGTGAGGATTTGTCAGCTGAAAGCAATTTGTATAAAGAAAACATCATTGGAAGGCAAGGATTGATATACTTCTGCAACTAATATTTTCCCTAAAAAGAAAAAAGTTCTTAAAGGGGATTATTTTATATTTTCAGGGTTTTCTCTGTGCCTGTGAATTGTTGCTTCTGTCTACTCTATACATTGCTCTCAAATACTTTTGGTGAACAAATTCCATTAATAATAAATGATATTGAATTATCCAGCTACAGAGAGAATTTGTGATTCAGAAATACATGCTTCTGCCACAAATTATTTCTGCTCCCATTGCAGTCAAATTCAGACTTTGCTTTGACTCCAGTAGAAGCACAATTACATACAAAAAATATAGTTACACAAGTAGTCCTTCAGGCGTTTCATTATTCTTTTTAGTTGAGCTCACTGGCCACCCTAATTCAGCTGAAAACTTAGAGCATGTGGGATGATGGATTATAAATTGTTCATAAGATAATTGTTGTTTAAAGTATGGTCCAGTTGCTAGTAGACATATAAAAATGGTGCCTATGTTCTTCATCACTGTTAAGTGGAAACTCAAACTGGAAGCTCTGTATTTAAAATAATAAAAAAGTAAAAATCTATGGACTCATACTGAGGAAGAGCTATTTGGAACTGTTGTGAAATGTCTGATAATTTATGATCCACTCAGACCTGGTAGAATGAGGTTAACACATGTCAAAGCAAAGGCTAAGGAAATTTGGAGTCACATTTCTGCCCCTAGATGGAGTATTCTGCACACTGGGTTGGTTTTTTTATATATATTTTGAGAGAATGGAGCTGTGTTAGAAGTCTTGAAATGCCTCTTGTTTTGAATTCCCTTTACAGTGTATCAAGTGCTGCCCATTGGGACTAGACTAACTGGGTCCCAGAGACCATTTAGAAGAGAAAAATCAAAATAAAGTTTGTTAATATAAATGATTGAACATTGTAAAGGCCACTGCGCTTTCTTGGTTTCTCCTATTTGTTGGTGATAGATACGTGTGTTAAAATGCAAGAAGCCTATGCTTTACAAAGTGTCACTAATTACTATGAAACATCTGATATTAGCAGCTTGCACTGCTGGATGTTTCTGTGATTTTCATGGTATTCCCTTCTATGAGTTTGCTGTGAATGCCATGGTAACCTTAACTGCTTGTAAAACATTTTAATAGTGACCACTGTAATATAGTGGTTGTGTGCAAACAGCATGCACCACTGCTTCAGAGGTGTTTGGAACACTTTGTTTTGGTCACAGTTGGAGTAAAATGTTGCCAGACTTCAAGAACTGAATCCTAAACTCGCCAAACAGGGAGCTGAAAGTAAGGTCTCCTGTTCTGCAGCTCTTCTTTGATCATCTCTGGAGTTTCATTGATACATTCCTGCCCAGCACTCACATGCTTAGTGAACCATGGCTCCAGAAAGCTCAGAGCTGCTTGGGAAAAGCACTTGGCTGCAGGCGCTGGATTTGAAGGGGGTGGGTGTCAGATTAGAAGCCAGCTTTTGAAAAACCTCTCTTGTTTTGTGTGTGTGAATGAGAATTCAGCTGCAGGCTCTTAGCTCAGGTATGTTCTCATGTGGGCTTCTGGTTTAGCCTGCTCTTAATAGGAGAGACCAGCTGTAAGGCTTGTCCCTGGACTGGGAGCTGAATTCCTGCAAAATCTGTGATTTTAGTTTGGATCTTTTTAGATATGATGTAAATGCCAGCAGCTTCCTAACAACTATTCTTGAAGCTCAAAGCAGAATTTAGAGCAGACCCTTGTGAGTTAGGGAATTGCACAAGATATCCCTTCTCAGAATAGAAAGAAAAGGCCCAACAAAACTTAAGCCATCTGACTGGAGTCCTGAGAAATGCTTTCCAGCTTTCAAAGAAAGAAAGGGTCTTAATTCAGATTTGCCAGAATTGTCTAATTAGTCCCTTTAATGCCATGCACCTTATAGTCTGTGCCACCGGATTCGTCCTATAAATGAGACGATGGGCTAATTCATCTTGGCAGCAGTAAACAGACCTTGTGATTGTCCTCCTTACAAACACCGGCCTGATTTTAGGAAAACGCTTTGACCAAGCCTGTGTCCCTGCTCCCTCCCCCTCGACGCCCCCTCTTTTTCTGAGTGCTGCCTGTGCTTCTTGCCCTCCTTCTTCCCCACCACCCCAGCCCAGCCCGTCTCACACACAGTAACATACCTCACACATTTGCCTCTGCTAACAACAACCTGTCAACTCTTTCTTTGCACCGTGCTAGGCGCCTTTTGTTTCTGCAGCCCAGCAAGCCTTGCAGCTGTTGTCCGAGGCCTGCTCTGACAGCCTGTGATCAGTCAGCTGCAAAATCCTCCCTGAACAACTCGGTATTCACAGCTCTAATCGGGCCAGCGGACTGTTTCCTCCTCTCTCGCAGTAAATCTTTATCACTTGCGCTCTGCTCGTCAGTTCGTGGCGCCAGCTCTTTGGGCTGCTCTATCCCTTTCCCATACTCTGCTGGGCTGTGTGCTCTGAATGCTAACTCCAGCCTTGTTTAGACTCAGGGCTGTCTCAGTGCTGCAATCCACACGTTGGGAAGGTCCAAATTCCAGCTCCCCCCACCTCCCAGCTTTTAAGCTGGATGTACCTTATGTTTGTATTGCTCCAAAGGTGAAGATATCAAAGGCTCCCTCCCTTCTTCCCCTCCCTCAGCTTGTTTCATACTTTGTCCATATAAGTTAGTTGTGTGATTACCTTTCCGTGTCCTCCCAGCAGACTGTTTGCTTCTGTTTAAGAGCTGCCTTTGGTGAGGAGATGAGGGTGAGCTGCCCAGCCTGGGGAAGCTGGTGATGGCAAGGGAAAGCCTGGGGGAGCTGGCACAAACCTTAATTTGATCTCATGCCCAGGCCTATTAACCCTTCTCCTAATGGTCCCCCCACTGAGGAGTCGGAAACACATTTCCTTCCATCCTGTCCCTGACTTGATGCCATCACAGTCTTTTAAAAGATTTACATCAAAGATGTTGAATTGTGAAACAGATTTCTAGAAAAAAAGAGGATCAAAGTTTGCTTCCATAGTGCCCTCAGCTGAGCTGAGGAGAGTGCTTGGAGAGTTTAGGGTGGAGGTGTCTGTCAGCGTGGGGTTTCTGAGGATTTATACTTATGGAGCTAAAAGAACTACTTTATCTGTGCCTATTGCCTCTTAGAATGCAGTGTGAAAACTCCTTTTGCCTCCTTTGGGAAAACATTGTGGGTGTTATTTCCCTGTATTTGGGCCTGAGATTGTAGATGACAGATTTTGCAAGGAGACTCAATTAGCTCTTAGGTAAATCTTGCTGGAGACCACTTTTATAAAATAAATTATTCAGGAGGGTTATTTCAGTTTATAAGGAACCTGGGAAACTTTTGTCTGATCACTGGCATGAGGGCCAAAACTGATGTGTTTTAATTTTGTCTCTGAAGCTGAGTCCATCTCTGGCACTGGAAAACCTGTTTCCCTTTCTTCATCAGCTTTCCCCACCTTCAAGTCTTTGTTTCAACAGTTCCAGGTATGTGCGTGTGCATGTGTGAGCAGGGGTGAAAATTAACCCAACACAGAAATTCCTTCAAGAGTACAACACGAACTGGCTTTTAAAATGTTGTTTCTCTTAGCTTTATGAGGCAGCTGCAAAACAGATGCCCCTTGGAAAATCTGGGTTCAGTTCTATTCAGACTTTCTATGCCTCAGTTTCTCATCAGTACAGTATTTGCTTAGTCAAAGATAAGCACATGGATATGGCATTCTTACAATTTTTGGTGTTGGTGGTCCGTTTGAGTCAGTAGAGAGATGCCATCCTGGTGGGGCTCTGTTGGGTCCCATTGATGCTTCCAGGTGGGATGTGTTTTGTCTCTATGTAAACAACAGACTTGTAAACACCCTTTAGAGTTCATTTGGGAAAATGGCTCAGATTTTGCTGGTATTTGCCATCAAAGTGCCTTTCTCAGTGTTCTCTGGTGAAACTAAATGTGTGTGAACAGGATTCAAAATTGGTTCTTTTTCTGTAGGCCGTCCCCAGGCGTAGCAATAGAAATACCATCTTCAATAGCATGGAGTGTCCTACAAATAAGCTGATTGTACCAGTTCATAGAATGGAATCATAAAGTAGATTGGAAGGGATCTTTAAAGGCCATTTTTTTCCTGTCAAATAGGAAGCTACTGGACATAGTTATTTTGTGATATAATTGGCTTATATTTTATGAAATACCGATGCTTCACCGTGCTTGGGGAGAGTGGGATGGGCAAGCCACTTGCTGTCCCCTGCACAAAAAGCAGTTGATTTTAATTTGTTCTTGAAGAACTTAATATCCCTAAAACTTCCTTGCATATCCTAATTTTTTTATATGTTTACTTTTCAGAAAACTCATTGGTAGCTACAATTTACATGTTATCTGATAAGGTAGAAAGAAATATTTTTGCTTTAAACTACTAAAGAAAATTCCGGGAGTCTGAATTGAAAGTAAATGGAACAAGAAGTGAGGACTTTCTCAAAATTATTATTATTTTTTTAAAAGTCAAAACAACTCAAAAAGACAAAATGCAAACAGAATTTTGAGGCTCTTCCTGCAGAAATAAGCAAGGATGTGCACAGCTTGTCTCCTACTTTCCACAGTAGGTTGCCACTTGTCAATGTTCTCCTCATCTACTGATAATTGTGCCCTGAAGTGAGGGTTTTTTTTAAGGATGCAGCTGGTGCTCATCTTGGTATGGTTGTAATTTTGTGGTGGTTGGTGTTGTGGGCTTAAATGTTTAATTGGGAAAATGTCTGGAAGTTGTTGGAAGTTTTTATCTGTTCTTTTCCTCAGAGCTTTGTACCATAGCGGAAGACTCACAGGAGGCAGATATTCCTAATGAGGGAATGTTTTGCTGTTTTGCAAATCCTATATGAGTTCTTTTGCTTTGGAGAGGTAAGTTCAATCCTCATTTTTACCCAGACCACAATGAAGGCTCTGTACCTTGTTCTGTTGACTGGATGCGAGAAGAGGACTAGTTCATGGCTCTGGGATGAACAGGATGAGCAGAGTTTGAGAACAGCTTTTCTATTCCCTGTTCCAGATTGAAGGTGCTGTGACTCACTTTTCCTAATGCATCTGGATGCATATATTGGATTAGGATCTTTTATTGCTCTGCTTCTTTATTTTTAAGGAGCAACATCAGCTGTTTTTTCCTAGCTCCTCCCATATTTATGTTCTAAGAAAATCTCAGATGCCAACAATTTTATATTGATTTTTTTTTTAGAGTTGTTGCACAGTAATTCCATTTGAAAATAGTCTTTAGACTAGGAATTTTCTTGTCTGATTTGCTTCAGACTTTCCAGAAAAAAAATCTACCTTGACATAAAGTTTGCACCTGTGAAAGTTAAAGGAAATCTGTTTAGCTTTTTCTGTGTGAGGGAGGGATTCTGCCAAAATTGAGTTTTGTATGAAAGACTAGTATAAGCATGGATAGACTGCTTCCTTCATTGCTAGGTAATATAAATGTATAGTCAGCCTCATAAAGAAAAAATATTCCTTATAAAAATGAATTTTTATGTTTCTTCTTTAGCTATTCAGGATAAAATATTTACAATTAATCTATCATGTTTAATTTTTTGAGTCACTTTTAGTGCTCACATTTCCTGTACATCTTGGAAAAAAAAAAACATGCAAAAGATGAGCAAGGAATAAGGGGAAAAATTATAAATCGATCCATCTGCGTCTTCTACAGACATTTTCTTCTCCCCTTACTTCAGAAGTTAAAAGAGGGAATGCAGGGCCATGCAGTGTTTGTTAAAGCTGATGGAATATCTTTCTCCCTCGGTATTTCTTTAATCAATGTTTCTTTATACCATTAGGTCATCTCCTCTTTTTTCATGGCTTTTTTTTTATTCTGAAGAAGCCTTGTTTTGTACATTTCCGTACATCTTGATGTTTATTCTAAGAATTATGGCCTGATCACTTCCTCTCTTTTCCTCAAAATTTCTGTCGTTTTATCTATTTTAAGTGCCAGAGCACAAAGATAACCCCATCATAGTTCTCTCATTTTCCCCAGCAGTTCCACCCCCCTCCCTCCCTGCAATGAAAAAATGAAAGGTCTCATGGTCTTACAGATTTTCTTTATGCTTATTTTGGCCTACTTGCAACCCAAATACATCATCACGCTATAAGACGGCTCTCTAAGGCTCTTGGATCAATTAAAGGTAGCCCTATTCATTGCCAGTACAAACCTTTGCCTATTAACTCTTTCAAAGGGCATTTGTCATCACAAAAAGCTGTGAATGCTGTCTGGGGACATTGATTAAAAAAAGGTATTGTTTTAAGGCTGCTGAATATCTTAATTAATTGTAATCAGAGGATAGCTTGTGCCTGTAAAAGGATAGTTACCTTTCACCTACTTGTTTTATTTTCTGTGTTTTAAAAAAAAATAAATCTCAGATGTACCTCAAGCATGCTATTTTCAGGGTACAAGAGGACTGCACTTGCTGATCAAACTGTAATTTAGGACATTATTTTGTAAAGCAAAATAATTAATGTGGTAACCCAGCATGTATCTGCTTGGCCTGTGATCAGCCAAGAGCGAGTCAGTGGAGCAGCATTGCTCCTTGCCAGCAGCCATCCTCCTTTTCTTCCCTCAGAAATCCAGGGTCTGTATCCTGGAAATGCAGAAATCCACCCCAACTCTTCATGCACTGAACAGCACATGTGATCAGCTCGAGCCCATGAATTGAACATTCATGCAGACTATACACATCACTGTTTGGCAGGTTAAGATAAAACAGGGTAACATTTTTTACAGCAGTAGTTCATTTGCCACAATTGTTGTCTCAAATGACTGCAAACAGTTTATTGATGTGTTCTAAATCTCTGGGGAAAATGTCCTTTTCTGTTGTTCCCTGAATTAAAACTTTTCTTTCAGTAGTTAATCATAAAAATTTGGTTTTCATTCAAGGAGACCCTTTTGAAAATGAAAATCATCACTTTTCCTTGGTCTTCATGCAAAGTTTTTTTTGTGCTTCTTGCTTTCTTGGTTTCTTTTTCTGAGGAAACAACATTGTTTATATTTAATTTAAAATATTTTGTTCAAATCACACATTTTTTATGTGCATTTATTGGAGGCATTGAGATATAGACAGAACCCTTCCAGTCACATGTTTGATGGTACAGCAATGGCTTTCATCATCTGACCCTCACTCTCCGGAGGTGCAATTCCAGAGAAGATGCTTTTCTTTCCGTATTTTTGCAAATATCTTCTTACAGAGAGGAGAAAACACACTGACAAAAAAAAAAAAATGTAAGTCACACTTGATAAAACATGCTTTTGTGCTTGAATAAAATAGTAGCTACAGTGCAGGAACTTTTCAGGTACAAAAAATATTTATATTTATATACATTTACATTTACAAATTAATTATTTATAAATTACCTAACATACCAACCATGGATATGAAATGGCTCATGCAGTTTGGTCATTTGGAAAGCAGGGCAGTGCCATATCTGGGAACCACCAGGCAAATGAATCCCCAACACTCACACTCAGCTGGTGGTTTGCTTGATGAATTTTGTTATAGGAAATCCCTGCATGCACAGATTCTCAGGGAAACATGGCAGACTCCTGTAAATGCAAGTGGTATTGTCCTCAATCTCTTATTTTCCAGTGAGTAATTGTACTGGACAATGTATGGATTGAAGTGAGAATATGTTTATGGTTTACCTAACTTTTTCAGAAGCCAAGATGATACATGCACTTCTATTACTGGAAGATTTCTCTCTATGTGTCTAGATTTACATGAAGTACTTCTTACTTCTTGTGAGTATTTTATTTCCTTTTTAAAATTTTATTGCTACAAAAATGCTTCAAAAATTTAGTTCTGTCTCCAAATTACTGTACAGTAAGTGCATTATTATAATTGCTATTTCCCAGATGAGGAAAACCAGTCTGATAAAGATTAAAGTTCCAATTCAAGGAGAGGCAGAAACTTAAGCACATCTTTTAGTGTTCCTGTGATTTTGGCATAAGCAATTGTGAAGAGTTTCTCTGGGATGCTGTCAGAGGTGAAAACAGAATATGCCTTGAATTGCAGACAGTACCTCAGCCACAGTACTGCAAATTTTTCTTGTTATACTTGATAAAAAATGTGATGCAATGGGATTGTCATAGAGGAGAGAGATTTATTGTTGTAGCTAGTTACTCAATATATATACTATGGTATTGAACCTCATTTTAGCATGGAGGTCAATGAAGTTCTAACATTTTCCTTTAGCTTTGTAGGTTTCTGCAGAAGTGTGCAGCATCTTTTCTTTGGTCAGGTGCCTTGGAAATAAAGTCAGAGAGATAAATCTGCATATTTCTCCAGTGGCTGTAATAAGTATATGTATTTGTATATCATGGCATTGTGTGTCTTGCTCTATATAACATTTCCAAGTGTCTGTACAAGTAGGAGATTTATGAAATGTGACTCATTTTTCCTTTTCCACACTGTTCCAGCGGAAGAGCTCAGAAAGCGATGAGAAAAAGTAGTACACTTTATTAAGAATTCTGATAAAGTAGGGTGCATAAATTTGTTTTCTTTGTGAGCCTTAATCCTGTGTTGTATTGGCTTCTTGGACATGGCTAATTTATTTGGAATTCCATTCTGTTCCTGACAGCATTCCTGATTAGCAGTTTGATCACCCGGAGCAAAGTTACATACCAGCTTTCAACTCTTGTAATCTAGCAGTGTAATTTTTTCAAATAGACTCTTTTCTTTCCTTCTTTGCCCCAGCTCCTCTTCTTTTTGTGTGCAAAGAGACTTTAAAAGTAAGCAGGATAACCAATTAGTAGAATGAAAAACTTCTTCAAAACATAGTGTAATTTGCTGAAAGACTGACTTTCATTTTTTAATAGAAAAAATGAGGTTTGGAGTGGTGTCAGTGCAGCATGTGAAATATTTGCCTTCCATCACTTATAAAGGATAACAGTTCTTTTCAATAACTGCATTTTATTAGTGGGGTGATATAATCTTCAAGTAATTTACAAAGTCTGTAGTTCACCAAAGCACATTTTGCTCATGGTTAGTTTTAGAAAGTTTGAATTTTTCTTTAGTTGTTAAGTTTGTCACATGGTGGGCCTTGTAGGAAAATGGCAGCTGTATCATTGTTTGCTTCTATCTGTACTGGCTTGTGCTTTCAAAACAAAGATGACCAGGACACTCAAATTTAATTGAAAACCAGAGTCAGGTATGGGTCTGAACTCATTTTGGTACAGCACAGGCAGAACATCATCCAAGTGATCTGGTCTGCCAAAGACACAGAGTTGCAGATGAGAAGAAAGTGAGATTTCTATCCTGTGATGTATCTGAAAGTCCCAGTCTGGTTTGTGCACAGTGAAAAGGAAACAAGGATTTTAAGTCAAGGGAGGCTTGGGAATAGCCCAGAGATAGGTGGCCACAGAACTAATCAAAAAGCTCAAACTGTGGTTTTATGCATGAGTGCCTTGACTGCATAATGTTTGAAGATTGTGATCGGTCTGGTTTGTACTGATCTTGAATTTTAGAGATCTGAAAAGCAGCTCTTGGCAAATACTTTGTCAAAACTGAAGCATGTTTTTCCAGTTTTCTGTGGTTGAAAAACTGGCATTTTGTTGAAACATTGTTTTGTCAAAAATAGTACTCATTAAATTCTCTGCTGTATTGATGTGAATTCCATTAATTCAGTGGGGAAAAAAAAAGTTTACTGATGGAAGGAGAGCACCAGGATAGTTTGGTTTAGGGCTAGATCATTGTGCCTGGTCAGTTTTGGTGATAATTCCTTAATTTCCCCAGAAAAAAACCCTGAGGTTTTTTCTGCCCCAAAAATTAGGCATCTAGCTCAGTGTGAAAACTTAGCAAATTGTGTATGGTCTCTCTGATCACTAAGGAGGTAATAATTACTTGATAATAAGCTGTTCTGAACTTTACAACATCAATCTTAAATACGTATCCTTGGTTTTTTCTGTTGAGTTATGAAGTATTTTTGTGTTTTTATATTTGTTCACAAAAAGGTAGACATTTTGGGCATTACTAATCTTTTAATTGATTGGTGCCATTAAGTATTATGGCATGTATATGATCTAATCTGCTCCTGCTGGGTAATGTTCTGA